ACCGACCAAAGTATTGATTTTAAAATGAACCCTGAACTAAAGTGAAATCTGAACTAAGGTGAAACTGTTCTCCGAACATGTGCATGGAAACCCTCCAGCTCCTGTTGGTTTTCACAAGTGAATACCGCAGTGGCAGTCGCTGTTTACAATAAAAAGAAGCTTGGGTATAAATTGGGGAACATTGTGAAGTGACCACAGACGTGCTGTGCGAGCGCTGGTGTAACCTTTCCCTTCCAGTAACAGTAACAGAGATCCTCCCCCTTCTCAGCTCTCCCCTACCTAGTGCTGTGTAGGTGTTGGTGGGGAAGCTGACATGAGCTGTATCTGGGCTCAGGGTCTGCAGGAGGCTGTTTTGGGAAGCATCTTGCTAAACGCTACAGCACAACTGCATCCGTTTCTCCTCTGGTTACGTCTTTGCCGTGAGGAGGCTACTATGGATGTTGATGTATGTTGTGGGCCTAAAGAAACAGTAATCAAATGGTGAAATTTGACACAAGTTACATGGTTGTCCAAAGGCCATTCTTGCTCTGTGTTTCAGGAACAGCTACGTTCCTTCCAATGCCTTCTGAAGAAAGCCATCACAATGCATGCCGAGGACTACTTTACAATACCACCTCAGGGCTCCAGATGGGATAAGGAACATGCTGCATATGGTTCTGGCTACAGCAGAAATTACTCATTAAGAAATGGTCTTTGGTCTGAGATTTTGCACTTCAGACAAGTAAACCCAGGGAAATGGGGTAAATTTGTAGCTAACTGGTCTTATATGTGATAGAAATTGCTGTCTTTGCTGACTGTTGCTGTTATTTGCATGACACCAAAAGTGCAGATACAGCTGCCACTTTCCACTAGATCTGTGTTTTTCAAGAAGCTACAAGCTAGTGAAAAATTTTAATGCACAGCCACACATTTTTCATTTTCATAGCAGTCACAAAATATGATTTTTCCCCTTAAGAAGAGTTGCTGCTCCCAAAAAACCAAAACAGTGTATTGCACAAGCCATGCTGCACAACCTTGACAGTTAACACTACACATACATTCATTTCCTTCTGAGGATTTCCATACACAAAGCAAAAAAAAAGTGACTTATGCAATTAATTGATATTTTTTTTATTTGCCACACAGGAATTGTGCCTTAATGAAGTGACATATGATACTCTCTTAAGAAATCTGCAGGAACTTCATACCAAATTTATAAACCTAAATCTCTGGTTAGATGCCCATCCTTTTTCCTCCGCATTTTTAATTTCAGTTTTAAGATTGTGGCAATGGAATGTTTAAAAAAAATCTTCTACATATCCATGTCAGCTTTACATACAAGAAAACAACTTTCGAAGCATCATCTAACACTTTCTCCACTAACTGAAGAGTCAAAAGTAAACTGGGACCAACATGAGTCTCGTTTTCTAAGAGTGACACCTAGAGTTTCATCTGAAAATGTAAAAAGGTTTTCTTTACTTGTCCAGATTTAGAAGGCAATAGGCATTTGTACAAGCATATTACTTTGAATTTATAGTTATATATACTTAATAGTAATTTGTTAGTAAGTTTTTGTGCAGATTTCATACAAAATTGTTGTTAAGCAGCCCACATATTTAATCTGTCATTTACTGGAACAATTCTCTATAAAACAAAGGCCTTTGTTTTGCAGGCCTCATATTTAAGTATTCATTGATGAGCATCAAATTGTCTTGAAAGTGTGATTTGCATTCCTGCACGAAGGCGTGCACCCTCCCCAGAAGCAGTGGTGCTCTCATTTTATAGACAAGGCGAGTAAGTGCACACTGCAAAGTGTCCTGAGCCGTGCAGAAAATGAGGGTGAGAACACCATGTCGTGAGGCTTGTTGCCGTAAGATGATAACCTGATTTTTCCATCACATGGAGGGAGGAATCAGGACTGACTTTTACGTAACTAGACAAACTGCTTAAGCTCAACTGAAACTTGTAAAAACCAGCTGTCTGACCCATTTAGACCAGATGTGTCCAATCTACAATCTATGGGCCACGTGTAGCCTGGCTCAGCACATGCTGTGGCCACCCCCTGTGCACAGGGAGGGCACAGTGCAATGCTAACTCAAAACGTGGCAAATAATGTTATGCATTTTGATGCACTGGATAAACACAGTCCTGTGATCAGCAGAAAATATGCAGCCCTGCTTTCCATTCTGCTACAGGAATTTGAGAACTTGTGTCAAGATTGACCAAAAAATCATCAGTTATTTGGTATATTTACAACTCCATTTTCAGTTGACATAAGTACATTATTGTGAATCTTCAAATGGAATGAACTGAGTTGTAATCAGAAAGTCAACTCAAAAATCCAGTTATGTCTCTTCACCAGATTTTAAAAGCCCTAGAAAATAAAAGTCTAAAAAATAAAAGAAGTTTTGTTACTTATAGACATAAGCTATATCATATATTTTGTATGTGGCCCAAGACAATTCCTCTTCACTCAATGCGGTCCAGGCAAGCTGAAAGGTCGGACACCCACAGTTTAGATTCCAAATATTTCTATCTGTTTCCTTCTGTGTCACCTCTGTATGCCTTCAAAAAACAAAGCTCACCTTCAGAAATCATCATAAACCACTTCAAAACTTAAAAAAAGCTGTTGTTATCTTGTTCTGGAAACTCCTTTTTAACACCAGTGCTGAGCACAGAGCTTATGTCCATCTTCCTTTCCTATTACAGAGGCAAATACAGATAATGTACTTGCAAATCTCAAATGCAAAGTTAAGGCTGCATTTTAGCCTGTGAATATCCTAGGTGTTACCATCCCCGAATGACAAAGAAATAATAATTTTAAAGATCTGTAAGATTCAAGTAACTTTCAGGTGTTTCCTCAGAGCCAGAAATGATTTTGTTCAATTTGTCTTAGAATGAAATATGCTCAGATAAAATGCAGTGATCTGGTAAGTTATTGCAACAAAACCTGGTGTGTTGTATTCTGCAACTCCTTCTAGTAATAAAAAAAAAAAAACAAATTGTGGAATAATATAATATAATGTGACATAACATACTACTAATTATAAAGCAGATTAAATCCTATTCTGCTTGCTAAATACACAGGCATTCAGGTGGAGCTGGTATTCCTCTGGAGCACTTGAGAAAGTTCTTTGCAGGCCTAGATGGGGAACAGGAGGGGCAGAAGGCAGTATTCCTGGCCTCACCTGCATGTTCCATGCAATCTCACTTATGTTCTGGATCAACAAGTACCTGTCATGTCATGGTAAAATAAGAAAATAATCAGTGAGCAGAAACAAGCTTTATGAGCGTATATTTACATAAAAATCATCATAAAGCATCTCCAGAGTTTATCCTAAAATGCTAACAGGTCAGCTACTCGGTTGACATGCAATGCCTGAAGTTCAGCACAAGGCCACCTAGAGGCCCATGTGCCATGTAACACAGCACTGACAGTTGAGTTCTAAGCACCAAAGCTCTCATTTTCATTGCTGTCCCAGCACCTTAAGTCAGTCAGTGGTATTTCCCAAGAGCATCTGCTTTAACAGAAAAATGTTCTGCATTTCAACATGTAATGAATACAGTTGCTTGAAGTTAATTGCTAGAACACAAAGCTAGGAAGCCAGTGTTATGACAGTTCATTGCTTGCGCTGAAGGGCTCATGTCTTCATTGCATGGCTCTTAATGTCAAACATAAGTACAAAGTAATTGCTTCGTGTTCTCACTGAAGATCAGCACTTGAACCTGTCTGAGATCATTTGTTATAATAAAAAAACTGCTTTTAAAACTACTGTATTGCCATCAGAAGCCATTCCTGCTGAGATTCACTGGCAGTTTCCCAAAACAAAGGTGTACTGTTTCTTTCTGAAATTATCTATATTGTGTTAATGAGTAACTTCCCACACTGCAATTTAAAATTGCCACAAGCGATCAGCAAATACAAGTGTGTTGCATAGCTGTGGAAGGACCTGGAAGAGAAAGCCGCCATCCTGCAAAACCCCAGGGCATAAGAAAGGCAAGGTCAGATAGGGTTTGTGAGCAGGGAGGAGTGAGGTGGGGTTGTAAGGAGCTGCTGGAGCATGAGGTAGCATAGAGCTCTGGCTCCTAAAGAAACAGTTCACTCATGGATTCACTCATGCTTTCTGCCAGGATACCGGGCAGTGACTCACAAGCAATTCTGCAGAATCTCATCCTTATGGAAGTTCAATCATACAGATGAGGAATTCTTTCTTACTTGGATGATTTCTTCTAAGTCTTTAAAAATGTGGGAAAACTAGAACACCGTTTTTATCTTGTACCATGCGAAAGATCTTTTGGAAACAGCTACCAATCAATTGAGTAATAATGTCCCACAAATCTCACTCAAACTGTTTTCAAACCCAGTAAATGGCAATCAACTAATCATGTTTTCTGCACTATGGGATCTCAAGTAGAGTGTGTGACATGAGAAGGTCGTGCATGAGTCATAGACCAAGGTTTTGTCATTAATTGGAGTATGTTTATTAGGTATCAATTATTACTTTAAGTTAATAATAATGATAAGCAGCATATACTTATTTTTTCTTCTTTAGATGTAGAATAGTTGTGCATAGTTACATATCTATAAAATATGTTTACATATATATTGTAGGGGGAGGTTCTGAAGTGTTCCACGTTATTTTAAATTGTAATCACACAGTGGTGACACAAGGCATGGCTAGATCCTGATCCTTGTGGTAGTAGACTACAAGATGGGCTCATGCAGTGTGTCCAGGGGTGCCTGTGAGGCAACAAACTGGTGGGCAGGACACAAAGCGCGTCATGCTGTAACTGTTCAAGGGGCTGCTCTTGTACTGAGGGTAGGAATAGCTGCCAAGACAACTCTGAAAGATCTTGAAAGTTCCTCTTTCCGCTTTTTTTTTTACAAGAGCTCTTCTCCAGTGTTGCAGTGCTGCTGCCAGGCAAGTCGTACATCCAGCACATGGTTGTTTGTCAGGCCTTTTGGGTAAGGATCTGTTCTTAATATAGAGATGACGTGTTTTCAGTCACCTCCTTGTTCCTCATACTATGGTTTGGATGTAGGCCTGAATCCAGGGAAGGAGAATATCAAGCTCGTTGATGGCCTTGTATACTCCCTTTTCCCCAAGCTGTCAAGAAGATAAAGACATCAGAAGTGAAACCACCCACACCACCAAAGCAAGAGCCAATACCTCCTGCTCTTACCTTAAGAAATGTTTTCTTTATATTTTTGACAGCAGAAGTTAACCTTGTGGACGGAGCGCATGGAAGCTGAAGGGATGAGAAGAAACCAAAAAAGCTTGTTGCAGCAAGGGTGCTGATGGAAATAAAAAAGCAGTGAGGAAGAGACAAACCCACTGTGTGGCACCATTGGACTATGTGTAAAATGTGTGAAATCAGCACCTCCTGCTATTACAGAAGTGTTGTTTTACTTGTGTGCTGTCTGGAAAACTGAGATCACACTACAAAAACCGTAATATAGGTATCACCAAGCCTTCATATTGCAAATTTCCTATTTATCTTAAGGGTCTTTATATCAGTGGCAGTGACAGCTTTAGTATGGTGTAACCTAGCTGTAAGGCTCATGTCCTTTAACTAGAATTTTCAGCCTGGCAGCCTGACAACTGCCACGGGATCACCAGACTGGCACCCATGGCCCCAGGGTGCCCCGACATCTGTGCCACCATCAGCTGCTCACTGTGCCTGATCTGCATGCTCACAGGTGTGCATCATAACTCTTTCAATTGTGTTTTTCTGGTTGCTTTTTCTGGAGCACTCTGGATAAACTTTCTAAGCAACACCTTCAGCACTGCTACCTGATTCCCCAACTCTCTATGCTCTTCAAGGGAAAAATCCTACTGTTGAAAAAGTGGACATATCTGGTATTTTCCAGTTTACAAGCAAAGCCAGCATTTTGGAAAAGAAAAGAGGCAAAAGTCCTGAATTCATTTAAAAATATGTGACGTCCATCTTTCCACTTCAAACAGAATTTTTAAAAAGGAGTGCAAATTTTCTTTTCAAGTTGCTTTCCATGTATGATAAAATCACCTTGCAAACTGAAAATGTGAGTAGAAGTAACTCGCGTTTTTAAGCCTTTAACAATCTTCTAACTAGGGCAGTTCTTTATGATGTGGGTTTTTTTGGTTTGTTTTTTGGTTTTTTGTATGCCTTTTTTTTTTAAAGGTCAGTTTGCATGGTGCAAATTTCCACACAAGTATTTCAGAGCAAGTGAACAAATGAGCAAGAAAGCAAGCTTGCTCATTTCAAGCTACGCTGCAATCTCTACTAAAGACAATCAGCTCTATTTGCAATGATAGAGCAATATTAAAAATCCTACAGCCAATGTATTGCCTTTCTGCACTCAAATACAAGAAAAAAACTTCTTCAACCTCCTACTGATGTAGAAATATCCCCAGAAGCAGCAGCTGTTCTCACATTGTTGCCATCTCAATAGGAAAAATGAGCAAGTAAACGGGCTTTTGCTGAGGACAGTGGTGCTGCAGATGGATGATCCCAGTATCCAAGAAAAAATGTAGAATTCTTTAATAGTGCAGTCATACTCTAAGTGAAAGGGCTTGATTTCCCTGCAGAAAAGGGGCTTAGAGATTTTGGTACCTGTGCATTTTTGAAAAACAGAACTTGGGCTCTTACGTTATTGGAAAAAATATAAGGGGGGGGGGACACAGTAAGAAAGATAAAAAAGAATAGCAAGGTGAAAATGATGACAATAATGTAGTACAAAGTCTTTGGAAATTGTTTGGAACCAAATATTGTTAGGACTTTCACATAGGGCTTGCCAGTCTACTTGGCTGAATTAGAGACAGAGTTCACAAAAGAATATAGGGTGGGTATGTACGTAAAGGTGTCACTGTTTCCCTCACTTGCATAAAGAACTTGACCCAGGAAAGATGATGCATTTCTTATGCAAGTATGTTGCCATGGTGGAAATCCCTTCTGACAAACATCTTACAGTTCAACTATACAATGAACATTAAAGAATTCATCCATAAGTTTATGAGGGAATAATACAGTGGAGAAATCACAAACTAAGTATTAGAAGAAGATTCATTACTTTCATTCTGATCACAATTTCTGTTATTCTTTCAAATGTTTTTTTTTTCTATTGTTGACTTTGAACTAATAAAAAAATATTTTTAAAGTGCTACCATTTCCAGAAATGAGGTGTCTCCTAGAAAATCATGACAAGTCATCATTTTCTGAACTCTTACTGTTTTCCTTCTATGAGAAGAAGTCTTTTCTTTCCTATATATATATATATATTTAAGATTGGAAAATTTAAATTGTTTTGTTTATATTTGTCTTGGATAGAATACTGGCACTAATTGTGAAAAGAGTTCAATATCTTTGGGAAATGCACTGCATTTTGTCTCCATAGAGCACAGAAACAGAAGGGTTACTAAGTTATATAGTTAGCTCCAGTTACTGACGGCACGTCATAATAACTGATGTGCTGAACTGAGTCATAGCTCATAGTCTGAACTCCTCTATGTGTACTGACTCTTGTATGAGGCATAATTTTCAGACAATTTTCTAGATAAGAATGGAATTTCATTCAATTATGTTGTATTGTTGTATTGTTCTAATACCTGGAATTTTGACAGACACAGATAATTGTAACAGAATTCTGTGAATAATGCTTACAATTATGTAACATGGCTTAAACACTGAACCTGAGAAATGGGGGAGTTTTCTCCCATTGAGCTCTGAACATTTTTACATTACACAAATATTTTTGTTGTGTTCTGAGATACAGCATTGCAAGTTGTCTGAAGTTGTTTATTTTTGAACTGCAAATATCTGTGTGCATAAAGAACCACTGTCCCTTTCTTACATGCTACCACATATTTCAAATCAGACAAAGCTATACTGTAATTCAATAACATTTTGTTGACTTTTCATTCTGCCTTCACTTTTTAAAACTAGCATAAATATTTACCTGACTGTTCATGGTTGCATTAAAGCCTAACTCACATTTCACTTTTTGTGACACTGTTACTTGTAAGGACTAAAGGATTTGGAGGGGAAAAAATGGCTGTGGATGATAAAGCTTACCCTGTTCCTATTCACCTACCCTTTAAAGAGGAGCTGGGAGGTAAGGCCTAACAGGACATTCTGCAGCCTAGCATGTATGTGACAAGAAGAGGAAGAGAACCAGCCTATGAGTGATCGGGTCATTTTAGTATCACCCTTTAATTTATGTGCATATTTGCACATGCAAAAATGTGTACTAACTACTGTCCTGGTGTCATGTGCAAGGTGGGATGATGACATGGTATTGGTAGGACACCTCAATTCACTCTTGGGACATGTTGCCAGTGGGCAGCAGCTTCAACTGCATAACCAATACATGAAAACTGCTCCTCTGTGGTTTGTCCCATGTCATAGAACCATAGAATCATAGAATCATTTATGTTAGAAAAAGCCTTTGGAATCAAATCCAATGATCCACCTAACACTACAAGTCCACCACTAAACCATGTAGCTAAGAACCATGCCCACACATCTCTTAAACATGTCCAAAGATGGCAACTCCACTATATCCCTCAGTGATCCCCTTGCAATTCACCTTTCAGTGAAGAAATTCTTCCTGGTAACCAGTCTAAATCTCTCCTATTGCAACATGAGGATGCTGCCTAACATTCTATAACTTGTTACCTGAGAAAAAAGACTGGTACCCTCCTTCCTACTTTCTCTTTCAAGATAGCTACAGAGAATGATGCCATCTCTCCTCAGCCTCCTTGTCTCCAGACTAAGCAGTTCCAATTCCATCCACCACTTCTCGTATGTTTTCTTTTCTAATCCCTTCACCAGCTTTACTGCTCTTCTCTAGATATACTCAAGCAATTCAATATCCTTCTTGTAGGGACCCAAATTTGAGGTGCAGTCTCACCAGTGCTTCATACAAGGAAGTAATCACTCCCCTAGCCCTGCTGGCCACACTATTTCTGAATTTCTGATGCAGGCCAGGCTGCCTTTGGCCTTCTTGGTCACCTGGGCACATGGCTGGCTCATGTTCGGCTGACTGTTGACCAGTATTCCCATGTCCCTTCTGCTTGGTAACTTTACAGATGCTCTTTCCCAAGTCTATATCACTTCATGCCACTGCTTGCTTATGAATCACTTGCTCATGAATCAGCTCTTCCCAGATTCAGTGTGGTAGAGTAGAGATAATATGTAAGTAAGAGTACCCATGGCATCTCCACAACCCTGCCGACACACTCTGGAAGGAAACGAGTGGTGTGAAACTTCCCCAGGATCAGGGGGAAGCCCTTGGGAAACTGAGTCCTCTGCAGCATAGGGCACACCATGATCCTGAATCACACTCTTCAGCTGTCAAAAAAGTATGATCTAGCCCTTTCCTAGCCTTTCAGCTGGATAGAGGTAGTTTGGCTCTCAGTAATATACTCACACAGGCATTCATGTTCTCTTGCAGGACCCGGAAGGCACTAATAACGTACAGCTTTTCACTTTCCATTCCAAGATGACTGAAAACATTTTTCATGTAGAATGAGAGGAGCTGATCTCGAACATTACAATTTGTCTGAAAGCAAAGCAGGCAAGGAGTTGACAAATGAAGATCTCACAAGTCAAATTTTGTCTGAAATGTTACGTTTGTAAAAATACATGTGGTTAGAAAGCATGTAATCAATAGAAATATTTTCAAGGACTTCAGTATCCCATCACATTGTATCCTTTTTTTCAAACCCCTGAGGTTTCTGAAGATAGGTCAGGAGGATGTTGCACTGACACAGCAAAGAGTATCAGTAAGATAAGCCATGAACAGAAGAGATAGTAACAAATCTATCTATGCACAATGAATAAATAGAAGATCAATAGGGGAGTTAAGCCAGATAATCTTAGCCACACTGTAGGTGTGATTGTGGGTGTTATTGTCTGATTCCTCCACACCAGTGTCCCATGCCATACAAGATGCTGCAAAGGAATCCCTCCCAGCCCCAGCTGCTTCTCCAGAAGAGACCACGTTATGTAATACCTTAGTTATCTGGGGGATATCTTGGACACCCAAAGGTATTTCAAAAAGCTATATGCCTATTTTTAAGAAACTGAAGCAAGTACTGGGTGCAAAATTAAGCCATCGAAATGCAGGTGTCTGCATATACATCCCATGGGCAAGTAAGGATCCTTCAATCCTGGATCCAAAGGCTAGTAGGTCTCTACTGACTGACTCCACTGAGCCAGTCTGCCCTACTGACTAAATCTCTGCATAAAAGACGCTAAAACCACTCACACATCTGTAGTCACCTATGAATAGACACCATAAATTCAGTGTCTCACTTCCGCACCAAATCACATCTGGGGAATCAAATCTCTCTCTTCTAGGGCACCTGCAGAGGTCTAAGCCCAAAGCAGCTATTGGCTGCTGGATGTCCTGGCCATTATTCAAAATCCCTGGACTATCTGCAGTACACATAGCCTCACAGAAGGTACCTCAACTGTGAGGATGGTGGATTTGGCCTCGGGCCTCATATGAATGAGATGGTACCTGAAAAGCATTACTGAAGAGGATCACACATGTGTAAAGTATTCAAGGGAGGAGCAAGGGCTACCACAAACATGTTCCTTCACAATGCAGTAGACACTGTCACCCCAATGCTCCAAGGAGAGCTCCACTGCAACCAGCTAGTGACAAACGCCTCTAGCCAGGTTTTCCACACCCACCTCTTTCTCCTCATACCATGGTCACTTTTCCCCTCAAGTCCCATAGGAAAGCCAGTTTTTGTGGTACAGATGTAACACTTCCTTGAAGCAGAGAATTCCGTTAGAGTTATGGCTCTAGTAAACATTGCGTACTTGACAATTAAACACAACTAACTTTTGTGTCAGCTGTCATTCCTTCCTATCTCTACAGATCAAAGGAAAATCAAAGCAAAAAGTGAGGAAAAACAGGAATATAACTCTTACCATAAACAGCATTTTTGTCGTCTTTTTTAGAAGTCTTGTATTCTTGATGAGATCCTTCTGTAAAATACAATGTTCTAGTATTAATTAATCTAAGAAGAGGAAGGGAGAAAGAGATTTTAGTCTGATCTGTACAAAATTCTGTACAGTAGTGTTTCCTACCAAGGTGTATTCTAGTCACAGTAATAATAATGATCTTATTCAGATATAGGATGATGTCCCCGTAAATCTGTGTTCCAGTCCCAGCCTGTCAGCCTAAGAACTTCTTCCATGACCTTGGCAAACTCATCCCACCTCTCCATACATCCTCTTTTTTTCCCATCTTTACGAAAGGAGTAGAAGCATTATCTTTTCTCTCAAGAACACAGAGATACATTCAGCTTACTGAAGTGTCCGGGTGATGAATAGCAAAGCTGTCAAAGAAGCATCCGTAAATAGAATAAAGTTCAGCTAGTGGGATCAACTTACAGGAACAGATGATTTTAAACTAGTTGCCTTGGTATATAGGTTCTCTGTCACTTGGGAGAGTAGTCCTTTCCGGCAGGTACGCTTTCCTGTAGGTGACTTTTTGCCTTCTACAGAGAAAAGACAAAGTAGAACTAACAAATACCCAGATCTGAAAATAGAATACGCTTTCATCTTCACTCCCAAATCTTCGTGCTCTACAGTCACAGCAGCGTATGTGATACAGCAAGACTGGTTAGATTACAGAGGTTAACCTAATTTTGTTAACCCTCAACACAGCTTCTGCACTGAGATGCTCATGTAGATAACCTAATGCTCGTGTGCTGGCTCATTAGTATTGTTGCTGGGCTTTTTTATAGATGTTGCTCCACTTTCAACAAGTTTTACCACAATCATCTGTGACGTTTTCTAAACGATATCTCCATATTTACTGGCAGCAGGGTCAAGGTTTCCAAGAAAGTAGAACTTCCCTCTCATGTGAGAAGTCTTTCTCTTAAGCGGTGGTCATTTGAAGGAAAAGTGTTTGAGTTGGGTTAGTTTGGTTTCATAACAAATTATACCAAACGTGAATTTTCTAAAATTATTTTTCCACAAAACTTTATGGCAGCAATTTTCTAACATGTAGTGGCCCAGAGACAAAAAAATCTTTGCTAATTTAAACTAAAATAGTTCTGAAAATCCATTATGTGTAAGGAAGCTAGACTATGTTGCTTTTAATTCTTCATTGTCTAGTCCATTGTGAAGTGTATTTCAGGTATACAGCAGATAGTAGCAAAGGATTTTGCTGCTTATTTTAATGCTTTAATGAATCTTTTGCTGGGGCAAGATTTGAACCTGTAGTAGCAGCAGGTTTGCATCATGAAAGGCCAGGCTCCAGTCGGAGCTCTCCTCATGCACCAGGGCATGCCTAGCTACCAAGCTTCCTTAAGAGCACACCAAGTAAAGGTCAGGAAATGACATGAGAGGTCCCAACCTACCCACCAGGAAGGTTATAAAATTAAAACTGTAGAGTCTGATGCTTGCTTTTCTACACTCATGCCCAAACAGAAATTGGGCAGTCTGTATCTCTGGCCTGCTTTTGAGCCTGCCACATGCTGGGAATAACAGAGCTGTCCATCCCAGTTGGGTGACTGGGATAAATTCATCTCTGGTACCACTCCATTCATACAAGGAACGTCACACCAAGGATGGAGTTAGAAATCCTGAAGTGATACCATCAGTGTGAGGCTATAAAATAATGAACTGGTGAAGTCAGCCATCAAAACTCCAATGACCTGTATGACCCCCATTTCTATGTATGATAGAAATAGGAGAAAGCAGCTTCTGGTCTAGCATGCCAACTCTTCCACCTACAGTGATAGCAGGTTTGTGAGAAAGGATGAGACAAGCTGGATAGTAAATTTACCCTCAGCATTGATCCCACTGTTTATTTATGCAAATAAATATGCCTGCATTCTCAGTCAAGATGAAGTCACATTCAGCTCCAGGGATCTCGCTTGTAACATCTCCTGGAAAGGAGTTTTACTACTTGACCAATCCACATATTCCAGCAGCTTCACTCTATGCTCCTGTGGCTCAGGACCAAAGAATTGACAAGAGGAGGAGAGTTAAGACTTTTGGTTAAGTGGAGATGATGGAGAACTGAGGCCCTATATGCACTTCAGTGCTCGTTTGATCTCTGGTCTGTGTTTAAGCTCTCTAAATGCTATCAGATTTGTTTGATGAGATACACTAAAGACCAGCATTCAAGCCAAGTGGACAGCAGATTAAACACTTTCTTTTATTTTGCTCCCAGAGAAGGATCTCAGGCAATACCAGAAGCAGAGTCAAAATGCATAACTGCCTTACTTTCTCCAAGGTGTGGTACTCTCTGATCAATAGCTTTACTTTAGATGGAATAAATGTGTCATGTAGCCAGACTGTAATGGCTTTTCACGAGAAAATCAATAATTTTAAACATCTCTGAAAACTCCTGTTGTTGCTGGAAAACCCTTGAACCCACAAGTTTCATTTTGTCTGTTCTGCAAGCTCCTACCATTGTGCTATAGTAGTTACACTGATGCGCTAGGCTTTAGAGAGCTTCCTTGGTGACTCAGCACACATCTTGCTGAATCCATCTAGTTTTCCATAGAGTTCTGTAAATGGATGCAGGTGGATGTAAACCACTAAGAATAAGAAAAAACTAACAGAATGACCAACATATTAGAGAAGAAAATCTTGCTGAATTTGCCCTGGCTGGGGACTAAGTTTCAGAAAGGACTGTGTGTGATTTACAAGTGCAACAATCCACGTCAACACAGGCTCAGTGCACAGGAACATCACCATGGAGGGAATCTTTTCTTCACCATCTTGTTGTGAATCATGGAATTGACTCAATCTATATGAGTTTACCAGACATTATTAATACTAAATTCTCTTGGTCTGTGTAAAGCAAATGGATACATCTACCACTGCTACAAAGTTCTCAGTCAATTTCAGGTAACAAATATACTATTATTTTGCAGCTTAGTTGGCTTTTTTATCTGTATCCATAAAATACCCCATCTAATCTCTTACTTCTGAATCTTTTCATCTTTCACATTTTCTGTTGATTTTATTTTCTGTTAGCATAACTAGAACTAGAACTAAATTAGCCCTATGCTTCCTGTAGACAATTTTTTTCAGTTAACTTTAGTCTTCTGAAAAACAGTATTCTACATGAAGAGCTGCAGTATTTATGCACCAAAATATGTTTTGATAAGTAATGATGATGTTTATTGAGATTTTCCCCAAAAAAGTCCTAATACCTCCATCGTAGATAGAAGTTCGGAATGGAGCATCTCTTGTCATCCAAAGAAGATTCTGCAGTTTTTGGAACATGGTTGTAATGAATATAGTCATATAGGTAGGCACAAAATACCCATCAGAACTTGAGAATGTCTCCTTTTAACCTTCTTCACTATCTGAAGTAGTATGAGACTTTGGAGCTGGTACAGATTTTTGACAATTACTAAACATTTATGAGCCGACTTTTCAGACATGAGGGCCTAGACTAACCATGCAAACTCAGCACATGGGCACCCAGTCATTCACTAACACATCTTCAACAATCAGCAGAGCAGCTCTTGCTTAAGTATTGCATGCACACTGCTATGGTTTGGGGGGAAAGGAAAGGAAAGGAAAGGAAAGGAAAGGAAAGGAAAGGAAAGGAAAGGAAAGGAAAGGAAAGGAAAGGAAAGGAAAGGAAAGGAAAGGAAAGGAAAGGAAAGGAAAGGAAAGGAAAGGAAAGGAAAGGAAAGGAAAGGAAAGGAAAGGAAAGGAAAGGAAAGGAAAGGAAAGGAAAGGAAAGGAAAGGAAAGGAAAGGAAAGGAAAGGAAAGGAAAGGAAAGG